TTAAATTCTGTTAAAAATATTGAATTAAGTGTTAAGCCATCAAAGTGTACACTGAATATGTATTCTGAACGGTGACAATATCTGTGGGAGGGTAAAATGCAACGAGCAGCAGAGCTGTTGCCCTCAGGAGATTACTATTTAGGTGAAATGAAAGTTAGCGTGAAATCCCTAGTTCTGTGGGTTGCACTGCATGACTTCTACCATCAGTACCGTTAAGACACTAGGACTGCGTAACTGCATACAGGGCACTGAACTACTTATAGTTAGCGTGGATCACCATACCACAGAGGCTCCAGCAGAGGGAAGGCTGGATTACGACCACTATGACCCTGGAAGGCCCCTGAAAGGTGGCAGAATTGAGTTGTTTCTCAGGTAGCAGGATTCTTTGCTTGAGGAGGGGTGAAGAGGTAAGTGTGTAACACAGTGTCCTGCCAAATCAGACCCGTGGATAGATCTACACTTTGAAAATAAAGATTTAGAGAAGGAAAAATACGTCAGAAGCACAAGCAGAATTTTAAAATCCTCTCATCTCTTCTGAAATAATAATATAAAATAAAACACTAGCAAAAAAAAAAAGTCAACACTCTAAGAAGTGACAGCAAATTTTTACACCTTGGTTCTAAGCTGTCAGATTCTCAACTGTTTGTGAGAATAATCTATGCTATAACATTCTTTTCTTTCTATCTTGGTCCAAGGATATGAGTATAGGACTCTTAGAAATATCAGATAAAAAGGAAAAGAAAAATTGTATTAGGTGGAAAATATGAGAATAATGTCCCATTGAGATAATGATAACATTGGTGTCCAAAACAAGACAAGAGCAGAACACACAGGAGAGGGGAAAATCTTGGATGCCACCAATCAAGAGGCTTTCAGAAATATGTAAATATGGTAGGCTCCTTACTGCGATTATACTGCAGAAGCCCTCTGATTCGATCACAGGTGGGCCAATTAATCATGTCTGTCAGAGTACTGAATCCGTGCAGAGGGAGCACAGACAGGATGTGAAAGGGAGGAAGTGGAGCCTGACCACAGATTTAAACCCCTACTCTGTCAATCACCAGCTGGGTGACATAGCCTCTTTGTGCTTAAGTGTCCCCATCTAAAAAATGGGTACACATAGTTCCTATCTCATAGGACTATAATGGAGATTAAATTGGTGAACACTGTAAAAGTGGTAGAACAGTATCTGACATGTGGTAAGCACTACATATTTGTTAAAAAACATTTTTGGTAGGCCAAGGCTGCTTCTTTGCTTAGGGATCCTCCAATGTCTTTTGGGGGGGGTGGGGGAGGCATCAAACACATGCTTTATTCATTGTCTATGATTTTCAGGTTTTGTTTTACTTACTGTGGAACAAGAAATTAAAACCACTTGAGAAGCAATTTGCATGCAGGATGCCTCTACTACATTTAATACAATTCCCCATCTCCCACAATTTTTTTTTCTTGCAGGTAGACATCTATATTTCATTTGATCACACATTTTTAGGGACTTGTCTTTATAATGCTTTTGAAGCACCCAACTTTGTTTTACAGACACAATTCTTTTTGTATCACACTGTATCAGTTTATAAGGTAGTTACAAAATTACGTAATTACCATGACAAGCACTACTCAAAAGAACATACTGAATTACAAACATAATTCATTCATGGTGGAAATTCAATTCAACTGGTAAAAGAAGCACTTAGTAGAGAGCTCTCTACTAGTTGCCAATGTTCAGTAAATTGAGAGTCTTATTTAACATGATTTATAAGGGGAAATGGTGAGCATTGGTTTATGCGGACAGTAAGTTCAAATAAGGTTAGTTAGGGACTCCATTTCCATTAAGAACATTACTTTTGGATTTTATTTGCTATACTGGTCTTGCAATTCACTAGAATTTAGCTAAAATTGTAGATTTTAATATAAAGGGTCTTCTTGATCTGATTCGTTACCACCCATGGTCCCAGAGATGCTTTTCTGGAAATTGGAATCCCAGAAGAGGAGTTTATGGACATTCTTAAGATTTTAATTTTCAGGTTAAGAGTCTTTTCTTTCCCATCATGGACCTGATTCCCTTTGTAAGTTTCCCAGAATCTGTCAGCTAACCCTTAGAACTATCCCTTTCTGCTCCTCTTATACCAGAATTCGCTAAGTAATATCCATGTAATCTCTTCTCTATTTTTGAAGGACAAAGAATTAACTTTCTATAAATTCTTTTCTTTTCTACTATTTACCATGTATCTACTCAAATCTACTAAAATCACAATGTGTTCAACAATCTTTCTAGAAGGTGGTTACTTACACTGTAGAGAATCCTTAGACTGTATTCAGCAGATTACAACTAAAGTAGTTTTCTAACACATGTAGAAAACCACTTAGAAATCTACCGTACTGAATATCCAGTCCATGGGCAAAAGCTGTAAGGTCTGTAACACCAGGACCAGGCACACTGGTGGGTTTGCGGCACCCATCGGTCAGACCCTCAAGCTGACTGGACTGGACCAGCACGGCCGCATAGTTTCAAAGCGTCCATATAAGACAGGAAACATCCAGAAGAAGAGGTAAAGATATAAACCTCTCTTAGGTATATGTAAAGTAACTCCTCTTGCAGACTGAATATATGTAATTTATTCATTATTCCATTCAACACATTATTACAGAGTTTCCATAGATGCAAAACAAACTCAGACTGCTTATAGCCAGTTCTCCATGATGTGTATTTGTGCCGCCAGAAAATACAAAATCACGGGTCAAATAAATAACAGACCACCCGAAAAGCCAGCAACTTTGTCCGTGATTGTGAGCTATAAGATGTTAGAAGGCAGGGATCCTATGGTTATTATTCTACTTCACAGAATTATTAACAGCCCGTCTTTTACAAATTCCATTTCAATTAGAACAGCTCCTGGAAGTGAGGTCTATTTGGGGAGAAACAGTGTGTTGGCTGAAAACACCCAGTGAATAAACACTGAATTCTGTGGTTAGCACAAACATCATCCCAGTGTGTGGATATGTATTTGAGAAATTCATGACAGCCAGTGAAAAAGCTTAAATATCTATGGCACGTGTGCTTACTATGGAAATAAACCACCACGATTCACAAACAGGGACTGTAGATCCTTAAAAATTGTTTTAGAAAAGCCTTAAATGAAAACAGGCCAAACAGAAAAATTCATGAACATGCGACAGCTGTTAAAAGTAATTATAATATTGGATCTTGATTACGAGAGAGCAAACGAGGTACAACTTTTTACAGATGCAAGATTCTCTATGACCAATATTTATCGGGGCCACGATCAGGAAACAGAATAGAGACAGATGATTTTTTTCCACACAATTTTTGAGTCTTAAATTATGAATTATGCTCTAACAGATAAAGCAGAGAGAAAATTAATTTAAGAGATGAGATCTATTTTACAATTCAGGGAACTCTTTTATTTTAATTTGGGGGGAAAATTACACTTTGATGTTCAGCTTTACCACACATCTTTCCTTCTCTGAAACGAACTGCAATTTCTCATTATTTTCCCGAGGAGTCAGGGAAAGATGTTCGTGCCAAAGTTCAGAGGGCAAATTAACAAAACTGTCTCAACCTTCTGTCCTGGAGAAACTTCTACAATGATGGAGATGTTCTATATAAACACTGCCTAATATGGTAGCTGCTGGCCATGGGTGGCTTTTCAACCCTTGCAATGTGACTAGTTTGACAGGGAAACTTAATTTTAATTTAAATTATTTTTTAAACTCAACAGTGCCACGTGGCTAGTGGCTACAGTGGTGGCATGCAGTCTGGAGGATACCTCTGTCTTTTCCCTTTCCAAGCCAATTAGACCAGGCAGCTGGGGGTTATCCTTGAGCAATGATGCACATTAATAGGGTTTTTAAAAAATAGGGAACAGCAAAGATCAGCCTTCCAGACCCCTTTGCCAATCCATGTTTCTCCTCCAGTCAGATATATTCTCTCCTGCCTTCTCAGGGACAACTCTAAAATGATTCAAATGACTTCCACAACTTTGCCTGTTATGAAGGCGGGTAAAGGAAGAGTGCGGAGAGAACACTTAGAGAGAAGCTGTAAAACACGGAAGTGGAAGAGAGGAAGTATTAGACTGTGAGGAGGCAGG